CCCGAGGGAGAGTTACGTTTTTTGCTTTAATGGAGGGTGATTGCGGAGACAACCTCAAATCCCATTTAGCGCTATCGTTCCTAATTCGGATGTCTTCAACGCTGAAGTCGTACTTCACTCCATCTTCCGAAGGAGAAGGCGACAGACCTTTTATCAGTGCATCTTGCACTGATAACCTCAGCCTTGTCGTCGACGCATTTGCAATAACAGTCCGACCTAGGACTGTGAGTGCTTAGAATGGATTTCTTCACCGAGGAAGGTGCGATAATCCGAGCGAATTTCATCTGAGCATTTCTTATCTGAGCCTCGCGCGTGGGAGTGCTCTTTTCTTTCAAATGAAGGCGTCTCTGTGCATCATTTATTCTAGCTTTAACGGGCTTCGTTTCTTTTGACAACCGATAGCCCTTCTTTGGCTCATGGTTAATAGTGGCGCCCAACCCTTCCACTTTTACAATTTTGGGCGTAGAGCTACCTAGCGGAGCCCTATCTAACCTTTGTATTTGTATAGTCGGCCCAGTAGCGGGCACGATCAATAGCGCCGAAGTTCTTTTTCCCCCAGCCACTCGTGGCACTTATGGGCCCAAGACTGGTGTAAACCTGGGTGCTTGGGTGTCAGAGTCAGGTGTGACTCTCACAAGACTACCGCTGACGATATCTACCTTTACGGCACTTGATAGCACGGCGTCTCTCAGGTACATACTGGGAAAGGTTACGAACAGCGGCCTTGGTCCAACTGCTTTAACGTCTTTCCATACTCCAATGCGGTGGCACTTGACAAATGGAGTGCTTACGGGCATCCCAATCATCCTGAATATGTCGTGGAGGCTGCGCCTTTCAGATTCCTTTCTCGCCCTACTTTCACAAATATATGGCTCCCTCAAATTATGGAAGTCTACGTTCCGCGTCCTGCCTAACATCATTTGATTGGAAGGTTTCACCATGGGTAGCTTCCATTCTAGAACTTCCATCCGCGAAATTAGGGCTGCAATCACTCCAGATTCTGTATCTTCCTTCTTCGCAGCTTGTTCCCCTTTTGTCTTCAACCTAATTTCCACCGACTCTATCGGTTTAACACTAATGCTCTGTTTACCCGTATTCTTTTTTGACGTATTTGTGCTCTTTATCTGCATCTAACCCCTCAGCAGCAACCATATCCTGTATCAGGCATGAGCACTCGAGCGCGAATGTCTTGCACCGGTCACATACCCACTTTAGATTCTCTTTCTGAAGGTGTATAAGGTACTTTCTCTTTGCTAAAAGTGAGCACTTTCGATGGTACCACTTTTTGCAACTGTTGCACTGAATGCCATCCGCTACATACAAATTGCAACCCGTGCCACCACAATGACTTTCGCTCTGTGCGGAACTCATTGATAAACGTGCGAAAATTTCAAAAGCATGGTCACGAAAAACGGATAAACGGATAAAAGGGTAAAAATGGCTAAGAACGCTTTGAAAACACCACTGTAAAAAACTAAAAACGACTCAGATACAACTTGTGTGGACCGCTAAAGGGTTCAAAACTTTGTATAGTAGGCACTTAAACATTTAGTGCTAAAAATGTGAAATATCGATAGATATCTCACTAGTTTTCAACCACAAATTTTCAATTGTCCGTGCCACGGTACCTCAATAAACGTCTACAACTACAAGTCTTCTGGTTTAACCAGCTGTAACTTGGTTCAGTTCAGTTCAGTTTCCGCAGGACCGAAAATGGCCATGGCCAATCGAACGTCCAGAATTATTCCCGTGGTATGCGGTCAAGTATGGCACCCACCACTGCGAAAAGTAGTCCGTAACTTCCTGGCTGAAAAGGGGAAAAAAGGAAAGATATCTCATCCCACCTTCAAGGTGAGAGATTGGTATTCATGAGCGTTTATCTCCTAGGCTACATTCCAAACAAAGAAAATGCACCCTAAATGTACCGCTCCTACTACTGGTTTTCTTAAGCCCCTAGATGGATGGTCAAACTTCCATTTCAGGAACAAGCTCAGACCACCGTTCGTCCTGGGCCGTGTTGAATGCTAGCACGGTTTTTAGTTCTACTAACTCTACAGGTAATCTGTTCCAAATGTTGACTACCCTGTTGCTGAAGTAGTGTGACCAGGTAACCAACCGGGACCGGGCCTTGGTCAGATTCATTCCGCGTCCCCTTGTACGGGAATCTAGCGCTTCCTGAAACATGGTTTCTGATCTAATACCAGATAAACCTTTCATTATCTTAAAGGTTTCTATCATATCTCCCCTGAGCCTTCTCTTTTCTAAAGAGAATAGTTTGAGATCCAGGAGGCTTTGCTTGTATTCTTTGCCACGCTGACCCTTAATCATTCTCGTTGCTAGCCGTTGAACCGCTCTAAACAGGCGGCATCCTCTTTGAAGAAGGGCGACATGTCTGGACACAATACTGTAGGTGGGGCCTCACCATGGCCTTGTACAGAGGTATGAATACCTCAGGTTTACTGCATGACAACACTGACCTTAATCTAAATAACCCACCACTAGCTTTCTGTGCCGCTCTGGCACATTGATTCGACCACCTAAGTTCCGCGGTTACCAATATTCCTAGGTCTTTTACAGTTTCCGCCGCCTCCATAGTGAAGCGATCTACCTCGTGGCCAACTGTGATGTGTTGCGAGCTCGGGGTTCCCGATGTGAAGTGCTTCACTCTTAGTCGTAGCTGACGTCTCTTCAATTGGTGAGCCAGACAAAAAAATGTTTTCTTTGGTAATTCTGTGGTTTTGTGTCTCGGTTGCACGATTTATGTTGACATTGAATATATTATCCCAACTTCATGTCATCTGACAGTAAGACACATTTAACAAGCCCAAGCTTAATTCTTATTGTGGTGGCGTCTCACCTCATCCCTTTCGTTCCACAAGACCTTTTTCCATTCAAACATAATGCATAAGAGAAGTATGGCCTTTCAAGAATTGAAAGAT